GTACAGAAAAACTGTATAGAAACATTTTTGGACATAGCTGCTAAGTATCTAGGAAAAATGTTGGATACAGGAACATGCTCAAATGCTTACAGACAAGACAGATAAATGAGGACTGTACTCCATCCAAAGAATTTGTAGCTGGTAGAATAAACACACTTAAAGGGTACTCATAAATAATGCATCATGCTGGAGGAAAATACCAAGTGAACTCCAGCCCCCAGAGCTCTATCCTTGGCTCTATGCTAGTCAGAATTGTTATAAATGATCTAGAGGATGGAATATAAGGAATGCTTATCACAATTGCAGGTGACATCAGACTAGTGAGATTAGCTAATTAGAAAACAAAATTACAATTTCAAACATCCACCACAGGCGGAGTCCAAACCAACAGGATGGCAAGTACTGTATAAGATCCTGCATCTTAGGTAAGAAAAATCAAATGCATACTGAAGAATAATTTTCTCAGAGATTTATTTGAACCAGAGGCCAGGACACAATTACACTGAAGCACAAATTGGCTTATTACAGGATCAGTACTGTAGGCAGAAGTAAAAAAAACCCTAAAGATGGGTAAGGTTACAAGCACTTTTTATAGACTTATGCAAATCGTCTTTTATTTGATCGGTTAGAATTACAGATATTCATTGGTATGTGATAGGACATAGCAGTCAATGTGACTGATAAGGTTAACCTTACTGATTGGGTTAATTCATGTGTGTGTTTGAATTCATAATGAGAGGTGGAAAGGATGAGATCATACCTCTCCTATACTATGAATCCTTTGGATTAAACTAGGGGCCTGTGATTTAGTGTCTAAAGTTACTATTTTAGCTTAGCCACTATTTTAAAAGCTTGAATTCCCCGTGTTAATTGCTAATCTTTTGTGGTCAGTCAACCTTTTTACTTTTCTTGTTAGTTCTTGTTACCTTTGGTGCAGCTGAGAATTCCAAACACAGGAATGCTTTTTACCTGAGTTTGTGTATTGTTTATTTCAAGAGTATGTGTTGGGCCCTTCAAATTTTCTCCTACAATAGGATATGAAAACCTAATTTGGTAATGCCTATCAGAAGGATCTAGGAGTACTGGTGAGCACAGCTGTACATGAGCAAGGTATGTGATGCAGCAACTAGAACAGCCAGTGCAATCTGGAGCAGTACTAATAGAAGCCATTTTCATTGTACTCTGTTCTGGCGAGACCACACTTAAAGTACTAAGGCCAGATCTAAGGGCACCACGTTTTAAAAGGGACACAGAATAGATACAGAGGAAAGCTACCAGGATAACAGATCTGGAAACCAAAACCCTATGAGGTTCAGTTAGAGGAGCTGGACATGTTTAATTTGCAAAAAATAATACTAAGGGGGCTACAAATATGTCAAAATCTGTCTCATACAAGATGAGTGAACCTGGTCTGTGTCAGAACTAAATGGAGGAAAATGACAAGTGAGTCAAATTTAAAAGATGGGCAATTCAGGCTAAGTGTTAAAAGGATTTTCTAGGTGGTGAGAGCTGTTAACCAGTGGAACAATTTGCCTAGAAGACTATGACTACCCCTTGCTGGAGGTTTTCAAATCAGGCCAGGTAGCTTCCTAAATTTTTGCACTGAGCACAAGGTTGGACTAGATAATATGGAAGGTCACTTCCACTGTTACATTCTGTGATGTAAAGAAATTTGGAGATACTCTATGCAGCAAATTCAGGTTTTAGTAATTATCTCACTTTATACTCAGATGCCTTAGACTGTTTTTGTCACTTTGTCTTGTCATGATAGCCAAGATGAATTGAGGACACTTCTTTAACTATATTATTATATCATTTCAAGAGCAGATGTTTCCCTCCATGATTTGTTGAAGACTAAAACATCGGTAAAATCTTTTCCTTTGGCTGGTCAGTTAATGGTCAGGGTTGAAAACCTCTGATATTATGTAATTTAGTATTTTCAAGTGTGTTTTTAGTTACTTCAAGGAACAATTGAAAATGGAAGGAAATGGCTGATTTTTAACTCTTCAATAAAAGAGGACATAATACTGAAAATTAACCTGTAGAATCAATTAAGGAATTGTTGAGAAAATTATTTCAATCAGGAGCAGACAACTTTTTTCTTCTGAGGGCCATCAAAGATGATAGGTTGGAGGCTGCATGATGGATTGGCCTGATACCAAAAGTGAGCATGTAACTGTTCTCTTTGTAACACTCCTCATTCCCGTTCTCTCTCTCTCTCTCTCTCTCATTCTCTCTCTCATATATGGCAGGCTATGGTTGAAGAGAGCAATAGCTCATACAGGAGTCTGAACTGATCTCCTGCAGAGGCCTTTGAAATTAGCATGGGAGATTGTCTTCAGGTGCTCAAAATTGCAGGCACCACTGTGTCTATGATGTGTTGTGTCCATTCCTGTTCTTTGTTTGTTTGCTTTCTCCCTCAAGGGACCAGAAGTGTTTCACTGTGAAACGCTGGCCTCCAATTGCCTGTCAAATTTGCTCCTCAGATGCTTTCAAACTCTAGTTGGAGGCAAGAGATTACTGCCTCCATTGTGGAAAGATGTTTGATAAAAGTGTCTGGACCTTATTCTAAGTTTCATTATAAAACTTTTTTTTTCAATCTATAATTCTTAGGCAGACCTCTGCACCTCTGAAATGCATACTTACAAATAGGATAATGTAGAATTTGTTTTTTTTTTTAAATAAAACCTGACAAATAGGATATGCATGATAGTAAATTTGAATGGCCTCATCAATTTAAAAATAGGAAAAAAAAAACAAGCAAACACGTACATTGTTCAAATCAACAAGAGATCAGGCAGGACTTCAGTATACCCTAGCTATTCCTCCTGTATCTTATTCCTACTGTGTTAATTAAATTTGCAGCTGCCTTCCCTGTAGTGTTTCCAATGAGAGAGGCAGTCCAGAAAGATGGTAATTGCTAGTTTCTTTTGAGTTCAGGACCACATGTTTCTGAAAACTTGGTTTGAGTGATAACAACTTATCTTTCCTGTATAAATAACTCTTCTTAAATCTTGGGACTTACCATGTGTTAGTGTGATTAAATCCGCAGTGATGTCTAGTTCTTGAAAGGCTTTGGATAGTGGCATTTTATTGCCAGTTGATGTAGCTACAGCAGCCACCTTGTAATTCCCATTGGATTGGTTCTGAAATAAATCAGGCCACTCTGTTTTCATCTCCATTGGAAAATGCTCCTCTAGGAAACCACTTCCAAAAACACTTCACAAACTGCCCTAACCAATGGTTAAGCTAGAAATCATAATCTTGAGATGCTAGTATTTTCTACTGAGTTATTTCATTTCATTTTGTATGGCATGCCACACTGCAAAGCCACATATATATTGTGAAGTAGTACAAGTCAAGCAATATCGGAGAGAACTAGACTTTGAGAGTCTCCACAGCCACCTGTGCTGCTGCTACTTCTCCAGAGGAAGTAGGCTAGAGAAAAACAACACAAGGAGATCATCACAGAACAGATCAAGACTGGGAATATCTGTAGAAGACTGTAAGTGAGTCTATAACTAAAATGACTCCATTGTTGTTAGAAGTTCGGAGACCCAATGGTACAACCCAATCCAAATGTAAATGGTCAAATGGTGTGTTTAGAAAACAGGAAGAAGGAAATATATTACCTAGAGAAGAATACAGGATATGAAGTCAAAGACTGGATGAAAAGATGTGTCATCAGGAAGATTATAAAATTAGTTCTGGAGGGTTTACAGGAGGAACATAACATTAAAGTCTTGCTTGGTTGGATTCTATGAATTTTGCAGTTGCTCACTGATTCAAGGATTGCACAGCTTCATCATGGAGAAGGAGCTTGTGTTAGTTAAGTATGCAGGATCTAATGGTTAAGTTGCCCGACACCACTGGACATCCATGCAGAATTTTTATGACAGCCTACAAGTGGAATAACTTAACTATCCTGTGCCAGTTGGATGAATTAGATTTGCTCAAGCAGTAAAAATCCTTCATTAACACAAGTCAACCTGTATAATCTGAGAGAGAGATTTGTGTTGACAGGTAAGCAGCCAGCACTCGCTAACAGCCAGCACAAGGAGGTTCTGAAATAAGAGAAACCTATATTTCTCCGAAGAGGTTGTAGGAGGCAGCAGCAGTTGGAGCAAGGAAATAATTAGAGGGAGTATTAAGTAAATCAATAGAACTGTAAGAAACGGCATGCCCATTCCTAATGATAATTGATAAGACTTGTGTTATAGGTGTATATTTAACATTTACTGCATATTACCAGGAAGTTAGAAGAATATTAAAATGCATTTAACTATCATAACTCTGTGATAGCCTGTGAAAGGCAAGACGAGGTTATAATAAGCAGATTATTTAAACAAAGTAGTGTCATGGAAATTTAAACTGAATTGTATTAACATTTCCATTCAATAGTCTAGCCAGCAGTAACATTAAAATTAAAATAGAAAGTATTTGTCTGCATTTAAGTAAGGTTAAAACTATACAGGAACATTCTAGGAATGTTCTTGTAGGTTTATTATGCATGAATAATATTGGGAAATACTGTTCTGAATGTGTATTTAGGATGAAAGTTCAAGGGAATCATAGAGAAAAAAAACTTGTAAGCAAATTTGTAATACATCTACCTTGCAAGCCTGTTTTGAATCAGAAAGTCATGACTTGTGAGATTTGTGGAGGAAGCATATGTTTTTGTAAATTACACATCCAGTTTCAAATAAATATGTAAAATGTATGCATACAGACATATGTAAATACATACACAGTAACTCTGAAGAATAGGTTATTTATGCCCCTGTTTTAGAGAATAGGCTGAGGTGACAGAACAGTGACCAGTCCAACACCAAGTTACATTAATGGCTGAGATGGTATTTTGCCATATTGTTAGCTACAATCTTCTACTAATATAATAATATGCATCTATTGGGAGGCCCTTCAGTCAGTCAGTCAGTCACACACTGGTCACCTCATGGCTTGACTACTGCTACATGCTCTACATGGGGCTGCTTTTGAAGACCACCCAGAAGCTTCCACTCATCCAGAATACAGAAGTGTAGACAGTGATGGCATGCCTTGGTACACCCATGTAACATCTCTGCTTCTCAAGCTGCACTGGGTTACCTGTTTGCTTCCAGGTGTAATTCAAGATGCTGGTCCTTACCTATAAAGCCCTTCATGGTATAGGGCCTGGTTACTTGAGGGACTGCCTATCTCCCTTAATATCTGCACAGCTGATTCGATTTGGCAGGATTGGTATGCTCTGGATTCCTTTGATTAAACAATGCCATCTATTGGGACCCTGGAAGCACACCTCTGTAATAGTGCCTGCCCTCTGGAAGAAGGTTCCCCCTGAGATCTGGATGGCCTCCACCTTACTGTTGTTTTGATGAGCCTTGAAGACCTGGCTCTTTGCCCTGGCCTTTGAACCCCCCTTGGATTGTGTGGGTTTATAAATAATACATAAAGGAATAAACCAGAAAAGATGGAGACACAGAAGACTGATAGGCACATATTTCCCATTTAGAATTTGTGGAACCTGATCAAGGAGATTGATTAGACAGACAGACAGACAGTAACCAGCTATCGTTACCTAGCTGATTTATCAGAAGTGCTGCTGGTATTGCTTTCCATGTGTTTATACAGTTCTAACTAAAATTTCAAGCAATCTGTACCAGCGTAAGTGGGAGAGGGAAAGATCTTGTTAGATTTTGCCCAAAGTACTTATGTCCAAGAATGTCATAAATTTGATCAACCCTATTCAAATTTGGAGCTTAACATTTTGAAGCTAAGTGGTGCTTAATTACTAGAAATGCTTTCCAGCTCGTAGCTTTTCGGATAATATAGCTGTTCAGGATTTAAAGCACCTGAGCTCCATTTAACTGACCTGGTCTTGTTTTTTATCTCTCTCTCTAGATTGCCTATGCTGCAGTGGATTGTGCCAAAGAACAGAACCATGACTTGTGTAAGCAGGAAGGTGTGGATGGATATCCAACCTTTAACTACTACAATTATGGAAAATTTATAGAAAAATATAATGGAGACAGAGGGGTAAGTATATGCTGGAAAACAAATGTCAGCTATTTAAGTAGTTTCTTCTACAAACAATAAGCATTTATGGGGCAGGATAGCATTTAACAAATGGGATTTAATGCTTCCATAAAGAAACCCATATGAGTTTATTATGTTATCTCCTTGTATATATTTGGAACTAAGTCATTTTGGAGCCTTTTATTGTGAGTCTTGTTTGTTAAAATATCTGAATGAATTTAGTACTAGTGAAAATTAGTCTCAATTTTTTAAATCTAATCCTAGCTAATATAGCAAATAAACTCATCCAGAGGATGGTTGAAAACTCATTTTGAATGTAGGTTTTCAGTTCTTTGAGTATACTGAAATTAAGAGAGGGGACTCCAAAAGATCCTAAAGGACTTCCTTTAACATGATTGCAGTTAAGTCATGTGGAAATTCTACAGAAATAGTGCCTTAACAATTTAATCCTCAGTGAATAATAATGTGTTATAAATTTTTCATGTGTTTTATTTTGCTTTTAGAATGAGATTTTATCAGCCAAAAAGACAGACACCTCCTTCTTAGCAATTAGGAATTGAAACAGTTAATCCAGACAAGTGTCTCAGAGCTCTGATTAGAATATTTATTAGAAGGAAGTTTAAGGTTACAGCACAAAAATTCCAGCAACTATTTACTTTCAAATAGAAAACCTATATATAAGCAGTCTAAGGCAGCAATACTGTGGACCGTGTCCTTGTGGTTTTGGGTGTAAAGGGGAAGATGCTTTTCTTATTTGTTTCTCATTTTGGTAACTGCTGTTAGTGTTCTTGTAAGTGTGAGTTATCTTCATATATCTTCACTATAAAGAACACCAATTTGTTTTTAAGCCACAACATTGCTGACTTTATCAATTCAGTTACAAAAATTAAATGGCTCATGAAAATAACACATGTTTAGATGATGATTTATCATGTGTATGTTCTTTCAAAATCATACTTTGAAAAAAAACTAGTTGTTACAATGTTCAACTTTTTTTCTTCAGTGACTGACGTAGGTTTGCCTCCTTACAACTAGAATGTGTGTGCTATAAGAAACTATTATTGCCAAGCATTTGCTGTATTAAATGACTCGCCTGTGTGCCTTTGCTAAAAGCAACTTGCGTACCTACCTCTTCCTTGCAGCTTGTTTTAAACAGTGTTAGCTTGTTGACAAGAACTTTGGAAATATCTCTTTAACATTATATTGCAATTTAATTTAATTGAAGGAGTTCTCAAACTTTGCAATACTGTTACCTCTAAAGTTATAAATATGTTTGTGTAACCCCCCCTCCCCATAAATAAAACTAATGATTGCATTGAATTAGCTCTGGGCACCCCCCCCACTTCTTATAATTAAATTTTAATCTTTATATCAAATAAAACAATATTGGAACCGTGAGATTTTAAAAATAAAACTGTTTTCACTAGAAATAACTACAAATATCATCAGATTTAAAATCACCCTTTTACTGGGTGAAAATCACCCTTTTACTCTTGCTTATTTTGCACAATTCCTGAAATCTTGATTTCATTTTCATGACAGCTATTTTCATTCCACATTTACTTTTTAATAATATTTGCTTTTAATAGCACCAAGTATAGAAAATTCCAACTCACATAAATAGAATATTACAAACTTTGATCCTCATTATGGGTAGATTGGTCATCTTCACCTTTTTACTACTGAACAAAACTGTTTCTATTGTGAAAGGAGAAGAATTTAAAATAATAAAAATACTGAACTTCAGTAATACATGCACTTACAGACACTCCAAAGACTATAGTTATATAATACACACCACACCAGCAAAGATACCAGAGACAGAAGAATATTGCAAGAGAAATCAAACAAAATAATGTTTTATATTATAAATAATTTAGGAATACCATTTCATAGAATTCTTGTAGCTCTGTTAAGGAAAGGAAACAGGTAGGAAAGTGATTTGTAAGCTTACTAATACTGAAAACTGAACTTGATTACTGTACTATGCTTGAGGCAAACCTTTAAAGAATTTGCAACCCCCCCCCCACCACCCATAGTTTGAGGGCCCCTGTTTTATTATAACACCAAGTTTCATTTATGTATTTCTAGGTACCCAACTCCATCATGATTGGACAGCATACCATGTGAGACAATTTAAAGCAATACAAAACAAAAGTCTGGAAAAAAAAATCACAAACTCTAACAGACCACTAATCACACGATGGGTCTACCACCCACTCTAGCTCAAGGCCTGGGGGAAGAGGCTTTAAGGCCTCATTTAAATAAGGTCAGGTTAGGGACCATGCAAATTTCTGGAGGGATGTTTTAGCGGGCAGGAATTGTAATAGCATTTTGTTCCTGGGTCCCACCAGATAATATTGTCTAATTGATGTGACACAAAGCGCATTAACTGCCCCATTGTACAGGAAGGCAAAAGCCGCAGAAGACAGATGGTCCCTCAGGGAACCAGGCTTGGTGCCACAAAGGGCTTTGTATGTGATAGCTAGCGCCTTGAATTGCACCCGGAAGCCCACAGGTAACAGTGCAGTTCAAGAAGCAGAGGTGTTACATGGGCATTGTGAGGGAGGGTTTTTTTTGAGAAATGGTACAGACCACCAAAGAAACTGTTAATATCTTCCCTGTATTTCCAAAAAGGGTTTTATTATATAAAAACTTAAACATATTTTCCTATTTAACACTTATCACTAAGCCTATGCTATATTATATTACACTTATACTAGTATCTAGGCCTATGCCAATGTGTGTATCTATGTTCTGAAGAGTCCTGTGAGCATTTCTGTTCTGCTTTGCTGTCTGAGCTTAGAACAAAGTCTTTAACCACCTTCAAGTTAGTGGGCTTCTGTTGCTCCCAGCTGCTGTTCCAAATGGCTGCTGAAGCATTGGGACTGCAGGTTTTCAGTCTGGGCTGGGCAAAGGAGGGTACTTTACCAGTTACTAGCCAGCTATAGGCTCTCAGCATCTCTGCCAGAGTGGTGAGGCTGCTGGGCTCAGCTTCCCCTTTCAGCTAGACTGCTGTGGGCTTACTGAAGTCCAAGCCTGCTCTTCTTTCACCCTCAGCTGCCCACTGAGCTGATGCCTGCTCCACTGCCTCAGCTGCAAATTCATATATTCTCATTCATTCCCTCCCTCCAAAACACACCCACAAGAGGCGCTGCTAGCATTTTCCTTTTATAATTGGAAACCAGGTGTGGTCCAGTGCTCTTCAGGCTGCCTTAAAGCCCCAGGGGAGAAAACAAAGGAAAGAAAATGCTCATATTGGCCACTGCAAGGCTTTCCTTCCACAGGCAGACTGTGGCACATATCCCAGTGCTGCTGTGTTCTGGACCAGCAGCTTCTGAATGGTCTTTGATGGCAATTCATGTAGCGTACATTATAATAGCCCAGATGTGAGGTGACCAAAACATGAGTGACTGTTCTAAGGGCCTTCCAGTCCAACTGTGGGCAGAATTGGCACACTATATGAATTTGTGTGAAGGCCTTTCTTGCTCTTGCCACTCACTCCTCAAGCAGAAGCTGTGACACCCAAATTGTGTACCAATCCCAAAGGGGGATGTGCAATTCCATTCTGGACTAAAGATGGAACATACCTCCAGTTACTTGGTCTTGTCAGGGTGAAGCCTAAGCTTGTTCCTCCCCATCCAGACCCACACAGCTTCCAGACACTGGAACACAAACTTGAGAGCATGACTTGGTTGACTTGGGGTTGAGATGTACAGCTGGGAATCATCAGTGTACTGATGATACCTGACCCCAAACTGATGGATGGCCTTAGTGGATGGTGAGGAGCAAGAGGAAGGGCAAGAGCATCAAGTTGTTGGATTTATTATTTTACTATATACATTCGGCTTCCACCTTTTACCAGGTATTTATAACATGTAACTGGATTTTTGAAGTTCTGAAAGTAAGATCTTTGGACAGTCTCATTACTTGGTGGGTTCACACATAGCAGTAGAACATAATGTGGTTTCTTTAGTGGAGTTTGTTTTCTGTAAACCCAAGAGCTTCAATTTGTAAATTATGATTTACAACTAGTGTTATATGTGAAATAGGCTAATATGGCTAGTGTAAGAAATCATGATTAGAATCAATCATGGTTTATTGTGATGTGTAAACTTGGAAAGCGGATTCTGCTTTTAGACATCTCCAAGGATTATTTAATTTGTATCTTAGAATATTTGGGAAATCCCCTGAGCTTCAAATGTGATTTACGATGTTATTGGCAGCTTCAAACCCCAAACACCATACCTAACTTCTGTGCACTGTACAATTCTTTAGATCTTGATTTCTAGCTACTCTGCAGGGAGTATGGAAAAAAGTATGTGAAGAGTATTAATTGCTGTGAAGAAAGACAGGGCTCAGCATCTTAAAGGAGTAGGCTTTTATCTGAAAGTTTATTTAATTTGTAGATGTATTCTTTTCAGTGGTTGCATAAGTAAAATATTAGCTGTTTTGCTAAAGAGGTGAAGGAAACATCATAAGCAGCTTCACTGGGCCAGATAATACATTCTGGATAACACTTGTAATAGCAGGTACAGTTCTAATCAAAAGGTAGATATTCAGGGTGTTTACAAGAGTCTCAAATTTTACATCTAGTGATGTGTAACATTCTGAATTAAGATTGACAGATGCAGTAAAGTAACAGTGGCTCACTTCCTACTGCATCATATGTCCAAGCACTTTGGATGAGTTGTCAGCTCTCAGAAATTAATAAAAACATGTATAGGCATCTGTGGTTTAACCCTCACTGTTTGTGGCAAAAGATCTAAGGATGCTAATAATTTGCAGTGAGCCAATATCCTGTTGATTGTAGGCATCATTCTTTGCTGCTGGGTTGCCACAGAGAAAGCAAAAATCATTCATTCCTTCCTTCCTTCATTCATTCATATCACCAACTCCCAAAGACTTGTGGGGATTTTCAGTTAAACATAGTATCAAACATCTTGGAAATGTCATATTTCTTTCTAGAAATTACTTGTTTTGTGTCATGCTCATCTATAGCCTTATCACGCAGAAGAACATTCATAAGGTCAGTTTGACAATAGAGAAGCTTATCTTAATAATAATCCTTTCTAGACTGGGTCAATTAGATTTTTATTTAAGAGACTTTTTGGATAAAGAATTGCTTTTTTAAAATCAAGTTCATAAACCACAGCCCCAATAACTTTACATCACTAAATATAAAGAAAGGTACATAGTGGTAGTTTCTGTTTTTTCTAATAATTAAGACTTCATGTATTGTAATACATAAAATGTTATACGTGGAAGGATTCAACTGATAGTGGAGGAAGAATTTCACATGGGGAGTTGGGAACTGAGATCAGTGACCCTTAATAACAGAGCATAATTAGAGGGAGGTTATGTGGGTGAGAGTGGGAAGGGACTCCATCCTGTTCCTATGGTGAATGGGATATTTACTTAAGGAGAGAGGTCCTCTTATAGCCAAATTGTCACATGCTGACTAGGAACAAGAGTCCTCGCCTCCTGCTCCTTTTAGCTCTTCCTATACTGTTGCCCTGTATATGGAGCAAAGACTTCTATGCTTGTGTTTCAGTATGCAACTAATTGTTTGTTTTTGTCTGACATTCTAGGAATCTGGATTTTCGGTTTACATGCGAACTCTCAGAGAGAGAGATCATGAGAAGATAGGGAAGAAGAAAGATGAGTTTTAATTTCTGCCTCAAAAAGAAACAAAAAACAAAAAAATAATTCCACTGCACTGTGAAGGGTCTCAGGGTCACTGGTACAATGCCTGAGATTACACAACTTTTAAAGAACAGAGACTTTGTTTTTATAGACCGCCATTACCATTTTCTACAACTTTGAAAATAAATTGAAATCATGTTTTTTTTTTAAAGAAAAATGCTGTCATTGTTGCCATATTCTGTTATGGAGAAGAACAAAAGAAGAGCATTTTCTTGCTGTTCAGTGCACCTATGCCCATTGATATTCCTATGCAATCTTTTTGTAATCTGTAGGTTTGATAGTGATTTCCTCTGACAAAGTAACCTTTGTGTTTTTAATTTTGAAAAGATGTTATGAGAAATGGCTTTTAAAAATGGGAGGGGGAAAATAAAAGAAGATGCAAAAGTATTCATCAGGTCCAAGTTCAGTTAGAGGAATTAGGGGAAGTAGAGCATTCTGGTCCCAGTGGCCTTTGCCCAGAGATTCTTCAAAGGCCGTTTTATAGGGTACGTGTGCATAGCACTTACTTCAGGAACCAGTCGGGATAAAGGGCACTTTCAGTCCATGTAGTCCAGTTCTGCATAGCCCCACTTTGTGTGGCTGATGGGACATCAGCAAGAATAAGGCACATGGGAGAATTGCTACAACTTGGGGGTTGGGGGAGGGAGAACAACTTTTCCCAGAATCAGTGGAGGCATTTCTAGCCATGTTAAATTTTGCCAAACGTATAGCATAGCTAGTTATGATTACATGCTCCTACCAACTTTCAAAGATTATGCTTGTTCCCCCCCTAGATTAATGTGGGAGAGTCATTTTTAAGATGCTCAGGGATAATAGGGAAATAATGAAGCAGCATTGGCCATTTCAGATCTTAATTGACTGTAGTGGTATTCCTTTTCCTCCTCCTCTTCTTTTTGTAATATGCCGTACCTGAATTGTTTACATATCTTTATAGAATGTATGATTGATTAAAATCAGTGTCTCTGCAGCAAGTATGAAAATGACTCTCAGTGTATGTGTTGACATTCATGTTGTCAAATGCTCCCATAGGTGTAGTGCAGGTATAAGGTTCTATTTAATTTATGATAACAACTATGTATTTGCTAAGCATTCCATCTGACTGTGTGTTTGACAGAGGCATTGATATTTTTGATAGGAAGAACTATCATGCAACTATATGTGTTTATGTTCCAAAGGCTTGTCTGTTTGTGAATATTAAAATAAGTATAACTTTTTAAGAGCTCTATAGAAACAGGCCATACTTTAAAAAAAAAAACACTTGTTTGGCCCTGTCAGCAGTGTAAGAAAATACAGCATTAGAACCAGCTTTTACAAGTCCATAATTGTGTGCTGATTCTGTGAAGGTGATCTGGACACTGTGTCTTCATGGGTTTATAATTATGATTATGATTATTATTATTGTGATTTTGAATTGGATCCAAAAATAAAAAAATAAAAAGGCTGAAATATGCAATATTGATTCCCTTTATTTTACAACATATAAACTACCTTGCCTGAAGTTGTGCGAGTGGGTAGAAAGTCCTATCACTTCAATAAGCCATTGGTGCCATACTGGAAACATTCAGCTTTTTCATTTTCTTCTTCTCTCTCCCAAAGGTCTCTGTGGGAAAGAAGAAAAACCTCTTAGCATCTTTTATTCCTTCATTAGGAGACCCCTCTGCTCCATCTGGTGGAAGATTCAGAGAAATCATAAAAGTTGATCAACAACATCTGGAATATCTCCACTATAAACATAGGGAGCTACAGAAGGGAGTGTGCATATATGTGAGAGATGATAGGGTAAGTGAAATTTGGGACTCAACGTAACCTTGCAGAAGTTCTTGAGTTTAAGCAGAGCCCAAACACAGTACCTGGAGAGGTTGCATATATGGAATTACCTTGGAGACCTGCTGCAATATCAAGAGTTGTAAAGAATTTCCTTTTACAAGGCCCTGCCTCTGTCAAACAAAATCAGTGCTCCTTCACCCCACAGATCTGGAATCTCCTTGGTCTGTGGAATGTATACCTGAGTAAGCTGATGTCCCACGGATGGTAGTCTGCCTTAGATATCATAAGGGTGGAAGCTCATGCATGATGTCCTGGCATCTTTTTATAGAGAATCCATCCTTATCACCTATCACATTTATCTTAATTCTATGTTAATTGTTATGGTGTTTCTCTCTCTCTCTCTCTCTCTCTTTTTTTAGTAAACTATAATTGATGCAGTTTTCATTTAGATACTGGTTAGCAGCGGAGCCTAAAATGGTGAATTGTGAAAAACAAGAGTTTTCAGATTATCATTACCACCTCATAAAAGAGGGGAAGAATTGTTTGTCTCTCCTCTTCCTCCTCCCTTTCCTCCTCCTCCTCACATGGGCATGATCCAAAATACTGACCTGTTCTTGACTTTAATTGAAGTATTAAAATGCAGACTTGATTTTTCCCATAAAATTCAGTGAGACAAATATTTAATTTAATCTGAATTGTGCACACATGTATCTTGTATTTTCCCAGTGTTATTGGTTTTATAAACCAAAGTTGCTGAGTTTATTACTTCCTTGAAATGTGATCCTAAAAATCCCCTTCATTCTTTTCATAGCATGGATGGTTAAACAGGATTATACTATAAATCTTAAGATGTTGGAGCATTATTCCTAGATTGTTGAATCCTTCACAAGTCCAAATTACCAACTTTGATTTACAGTTCCAGGTTTGTTTGGAAATAGGCCAGGAGCATGATAAACTTTGTATTTCTGGTTAGCTTAGCCACTTCAGTTTGATTCTTTGCACTGGTATTATGCTCTTGGTAACCAATGATTTTGCCAATAAGTCAAGATCTCTTATTTCTTTCTGGTAAGCCAAGATTCACAATTCTGTGTGAATGCAGCCACATTTTACATGATGCTTTCTTCTGACCCTTGCTCCATTAGCAAAGTTACTTTGCAAAGGGGACTGTGAGAGGAAACCTCATAGGGGTTCCCACTCCATTTTTTATTCTCAGTGCACTTCCTGCTTTTTTTCTGGCCCAATTAATGCTTGTATTTGTTTGGCACTCATTAATCAGTTGGAGCCCCTACTATGAATTCAGTGAATGATGATAGGCTGATTTGCCTTGTGTAGTAGTAAGCTTGTTAACCATAACATAAATCTAAGCAATGGTACCATGCCAGGCGAGATCTTTTATTAAACTCTGCATGATCTTTTCTATTAGACAGTTAGCTGTCTGGAAAATTAATGCTGTTTTCTCTCTCTCTGAATACAATCTAGCCCTTACCACTATCTTTATTTTTTCCTGTCTTTTATTCTGAGATGGTTATAGTTATGGAATTTTTTCCTGGAGATTTTTAGTAATCTAAAAGTGATTGTTAGTGTATTACTGCATTAATGTATTGTTTTGTGGACTCAGCACAAAAATAATGGAATTAAGCTTTGTACAGATAACTCTTCATTTTGAGCAAGAAGGCCAGCTGCTTTCCTTTCTCCTCCCTAATGCTACTCTGGCATATTCTGAGTTGGGGACTGTTAGCATACTAATTATGTTGTAGATACTCACTGAAGGCAGAGAAGACGGCACTCTTTACTCCTCTCTTAAATTCAGCAACTACAATAGCATTCAAATGAGACAGGAAATTGAACACAACTTCTGGCTTCATAAGATCTAGTTTGGTAGATCTTGGGAACATCATAGACCTGGTATATCTTCTTTTCAGCAAAATGTTTTTACAATGTATTTTATTATATTCATGTTAAAATGGATTAGACAATAGTATTGTGAATTGGATCAATACAAGTATATTAACGTCTGCATCAGACTAGAAGGAGGTCTTGAGTAGAATGCCACAAGTCTCTGTCTTAAGCCCTGTACTGTTTAGTATTTCATAAATGACATCAGTGTGGTCACAGAAGGGATGCTTAGGAAATTCATAGATAACACAAAACCAGGGGTGATAGCTAACACCATGGAAGACAAAATCAGATCTTGATAGGCTCAAACATTAAGTTGAACCAAGATGAAATTTGAAAGATATGTAAAATCTTGTTTTAGTATTACAAAAATTAAAAGCAAGAGGAAGAACCCTCTTGAAAATGTGGGGAAAAAACTGAGGTGTAAAGCAACATGAGCCTGTAATGCAGTGTGATGATTTTAAAAGCTACTGCAGATAAATCACAAGAATAATAGCTCCAGAGCTGATCAAGTTGCATCCATCATCATTTTAAGGGCAGGTGTAAGAAGGACCATATCCAGAGGAAGAAAAGCATGATTATGAGAGCTCTGGAAATCAGAAAATGTGAGGGCCAACATTTTTTTAAAATATAAAACAACCCATATTCTAATCTTGAGATCTGTGTTCCCTTATCTCTGATCTTCTATAGTTTTCATTGCCATTAAAGAAACATCCTATTACATAAGAATGGTAAATTGCCTGAATTTAATTTTTTTTAGTCATTTCAATTTAGTTGTGCAGAACAAACAATAGATGCACTTCAAACTCTATAAAACCTATAGAAAACAGGGTTTGAGCATTAGTGATGTCATAAGCTTTATAAGCAATAGGGGAGTTTCCTTCTCTACCAGAGAATTTGAATCTTTAATTAGGCTTGTAGAATGCAAAATCTAACATAGGTTTAAAAAAATACAATGCCAGTTAATGATATGTTTGTCACCTACAGCCTATGGTCTAGAAGCCAGATACAAATTTTGTAAATTAAATACAGAAATTAAAAAGTTGCTTAATGGACTGATGCAACAAACCATTCTGTATCAGCCTTTGAAGAATTCCCTTGATACCCTGGTGGTCAGCACTTTGGGAGAGAAGGGTCATACAGTAGGGCTGCTGGCTGACAAACATTTCACTTGCTCAGTTATAATTTCATCTTCCTTGTCAGTAGCCAGAAAATTGCCCCCCCCCCCCTCTTTTTTTTTTCTTTTTTTTTTTTTTTTTTTTTTTTTTTT